TAGCGAGTGGTCTGTTCTGAATTCATTTTACTGGCTTCATAACCAGTTTGAAACAGGGGCTTCGATGAAGGAATGGAATACTTGGCGACAGAGTATGCAGACCTTTATTGAACATCACCCTCAACTCGGGGATATCTCTTCATGGATGGCTTATACAGATAAACTTATGCGTACTGTTTAGAAACACTCATACCAGCTAAATTCGGACTGTTTCCTTATGATGTTCTTTATGCGACTGCTGACGCCGGTAGATGCCTATGTTTCTGTGGCTGTTCAGACTGGAGAGGATTTCTAGATTCTACATTCTGCGATGGTTGTTACCTTGACCACCAACCGGACTACTGGTCGATGGCTGTCTAGAGTGATGGAATAGCTGCCTGCACTCCTTATCACTTGAGGACACCAAGGCCATCCACTCTGACGCACAAGACCATATAAACACCAAAGACCCCTGACGTGATCGAGGTCGAAAGACTGAAACTCCCACTCTTCACCAACGTTCTGCAAGGATGCTACGAAATCGAGCCGGCCAAGTGCACTCTCATGGGTGAGTATATAACTGCAATTTTGAGACCAAATCAAACTTACAGGTTTTTGCAGGCAAAATGACGCGCAACGAATCGATTCAGATACATCCGATCGCAAGCAAATGTGAGGCGACCACGCCCGTACAAAAGCATCATGCTGACAAGGACGAGGTACTCTACCAGTTTCAGAAACAAGACAGATCTATACAGCAGCAGTCATCCATACGGTCGGGTAATTGCACGGCAAATGGACAAGAGTCGACGATTCGGCAGGTGGAATATCCATAACGCAAGCATTCACCACGGAGCTGGATCCGGCAACGACCACAAATTAGGACCGCCCGCACTTGCACAGAAGATATCGATCAATGCCACAAAAAATGGTTCATTTCGAATGCTGAGCGATGAAATTCAAAAGATGATCTTCTCGCATTTGGACTATCAGTCCCTCATTCTCCTTTCTCAGGCTCGCCACCACTTCTATGAGGTGGCTCGACCAGAGCAGGCCAGTCCACAAGACAAATTCCAATTCGTCATGAGAGCTGAGAAAGAGTTCAAGCAGCACTTCCCAAACGAAAATAGTCCTGGCCATTTTGCTTGCTACTTTTGCTATCGCGTTTTCCAGGCAGATTGTTTCAGAGGTGACCAGGCTCTTGAAGCGTTCGTTGATTGCAACGGCGAATTTGTTCTCGAGACTAAGCCCGAAAACGCGACCAAATATGCAAAAGTTCAGCTGCGACGTTACTGCAAAACTTGCGGATGCGATATTGGTTTCGACAGGCTTGTACAAAGGACTACACGGTGAGATCAATTGCGTTCGCCCCCGGCTGCTGGAAAGGGGGATGCGACATTGACAGATTGCTGAGAATGGAATTTTGATATGATTGCCAAGCTTCAGTTTGCCACCACCGACGCGCTGATAGAAGATTTGACCAATAGCCATAGCGGAGAAAATCGACAAATACTATTTGTTATAATTCGTTGGATATTTTCATGCCAGTCTGACAGTTCACGCATTATGACCAGGCTGGCTGAACAAACCACATTGCGACCGTTCATCTCATCCTTTGCCTTTCGACCTCATTTCATGTTGCTTTCATTAAAGTTGTGAGAAGTGCAGCTTGGCGTAACGTGTTCTTTCTGGTGAATAGCCTTCATCCAGTTCCATAGAAAGATGCTATAGAATTGAAGAACAATGACCGACGCAGCAATGAGGGGTCCCAGAATGGAGAACACCGTGAAGCCGTACGACGCAGATTAGAACGTCTTATTGTGGCCAAGGGACTTCGCCGCCAGCCCGACCTGCATGGCAGTCAGGACAATGGCGATGTACACTATTGCGCTGGCCAGCCAAGCAAAGTGATCGTGGAAGAAGGCGCCGTACCGATCCGAGCCATGTATCCGTGCATCAGCGTCCGTGCCAGGGCGTATATCTTGTTCAGGCGACTCAGACGCAGCTCACCGTGGACAAAACGCGGGTCGATGTGGGGGTAGATGTGTTCCGTGTCCAGCTGCTCGACGAGCATCCGCCATCCGCACCATGTTACCTCTGGCGGCAGTAGATGCTTGTGTTGGGCGGTACGGAAAGCGCTCTCGTGCAAAAGTAGCGCGGCGTAGGAGAAGAGGAAGTCAAGCGCCCGTCGGCGGAGACCTGGACGCGTGCATTCCGTCTGGGTGGCACTGTTCATGTCGGGTGAACACCCGCATTCTCCGCAGCCGAGATATCGGGTCCAGAAGGTCGGGTCAAGGAGGAAGCGGGGGATGGGGTGGAGATGGATGACTGGTTGGTGGGCTGGCTTGGCCATAGTAACGCTCCTCATTGCCCGGTCGCTCCATCGCGTCATTAGCAAGATTTGCCGACCCCGCGAGGAGAATCGCTCCGGGACACTGGAAATTCTCTCTGGCAAAGATGATGCCAAATTTGAGTTCGTTAGGACTGCTCATTCGAGCCGCACGCGTTACTAACTTCGATGCAGGATCATACCAGATACGTGTGCGTCGTTCGTTCGTCCGGTCGAGGCTCCCGTCTCTGAATCGCCGGTCTTCCCGCCGCGTCGGTCCCGTAGAGTCGGTCTGTATCCTGTCCCGGATCGGCAAAAGTCCCGCAGCTGCCGTCATGCGCCTCGTTTTTGATCTTGTTGTAGTACGGGAGAATCAGGTTCGCGTCCTTCGGCGCTCACCTTTTAATACTGCCGATAGCTGCTCTCACAACCGGCTCTGTCACCGCCAGAACATGGCCACCTCTAAGTAACTGGAAGCAGTCAAAAACAGTCTCCTTGCCGAGGTCGTACACAATCAGCCCCGACGCTGTTTGCCTCAGGCAGCGCCACGAGAACGTCGCCCAGTCGGATATCACGTGGTGAAGGCCCCGTCAGCGCGGGCAGGCTGGCCGCCAAGCTGACAAGTAGTCCGAACCAAATGTTGGGAAAGGATTTCTTGACCTGACTTGCAAGCGCGGCCGCCGAGCCCGTCCCGTACTCCTGGCCCGCCGGCAGTTTTGCGATGACGACGTTGTGCCCATAGACCTCGCCAGCCTGGTAGATGTAGTCGTTGCCGCGCTGCATAGGGAAACGTCATCATGCTCGCGATCGAGCATGCAAGCGGCCGCGCGGGCCTCGATCTCTAGCGGCATGATACATGCGACGGTGTAAAGTTTTGACGAATCAACATGTTAGTTATGTGAGCGCC